TCTTGATGAATTCTTTCTAAGCATATTTATCATTAAAAGCAGGTTTTAATGAAACATTTCAACCATCTACTGTCAAAAGGACCATAATCAAACCTTTAGATGATGATTTATTACTTCAAACTGACAAAACCAGCTGATGATCTGAGGGTTTCCATTCAGTTCTTGATGTCTGCAGTTATTTTTTCTGAGCACATTTATCATTAAAAGCAGATTTTAATTTAAATTTCAACCACCTAATATCAAAAGGACCATAATCAAACCTTTAGATGATCACATTTATATCATTATCAGCATGTCTGGTTCGTTTGGTGGTTAAAGTGTGACCTCCTGATCTGATTTTTGCATTAATAATAATGATTAGTGATGATTGGCAATTGAAGTAAATGATCAACAAGGATCTTTAATGCTTTTTATTCTGTTTTTACCCCTGGACAAGCTTTAAACCGTCTTTAAAAAAACAATTTGATCCAACACCAATCGTCTGGGTGCAGTTTTTTTTTGTGCCGTCAGTGAGTGAGTTTCTCGTATCGTCTGTGTTTTGGTTTTTTAGGTGGTTAGCAACACGCTAAGCCCCGAACGCCCAGCAGAAGAGGGGATCCTGAACCACGTGCAGTGCAAAGGCTCGGAGGCGTCTCTGTGGCACTGCATGGCCCGGCGGGGGGGGCAGCCCTGCTCCAGCTCCCCTCAGGTCATCTGCTCAGGTCAGAGCCCGGTTTAATTAAATCCAATTCAATTTTATTTCCATAGCGCCACGTCACAACTACAGTTATCTCCCAGCTTTCCAAACAGAGCAGGTCAGACCCTACTCTGAAGTTAATTACAGAAAACCAACAATTCCCACCATGAGCAAGCACTGGGCGACACAGGGAAGGAAAAACTGCCTTTAACAGGAAGAAACCTGGAGAAGAACCATGGCTCAGGGTGGGGGGGGCATCTGCCTCGAGAGGGGGGTGAGATAGAGAGTGAGAGAGAGAGAAGGACAGAGAGAGGCAGCCTACACAGTAACACATAGACTGGATAAAAAATGGTAGAGGTCCATCCATTATCGTAACCTCTTGTTCCCTAATGGGGTAGCATCGTTAAAGGGGACATATTATGCAAAACCAAGTTTTTAATCATTTGATTATGTACATTTGGACTGTGGAGGGCCTATCAGCAGGAAAAGTGTGAAAAAAATGACTCAGTCATGTTTTTGTCTCAATCCAGGAGATAAATCAGGAGGTTTCAGGAGTGGGTAGTTTCTGACGTCATTAGCTCTAGCTCATTATAATATTCCAGCCTTTCACCTGCATGTTGCCCCCCCCCTCAGCTTACTCCCCTATCTGTGGCAGACGTCGTGGTAGAGTGAGCGTTAGCATGGTAGCGTTAGCATGGTAGCGTTAGCATGGTAGCGTTAGCATGGTAGCGTTAGCGTGGTAGCGTTAGCATGGTAGCGTTAGCGTGGTAGCGTTAGCGTGCCGACGTGGGCACACCTCCTGGAAGAAGTGGGCGGATTGCCTGTGTCTCATTTGCATTTAAAGAGACAGGCACTCCAAAGCGAGCGCTCTGAACGGGGCTGTTTTGGGTTAGGGTTAGGGTTAGGGTTAGGGTTAGGGTTAGGCAGGGGGACTGAACTGCTATTGGGCTTCATCCTTATAGTATTTTGAATTTAATTGAATTGAATATACTTTATTGATCTCCAGGGAGAATTTGACTTTTGACCAAAGCTTGTCACAGACATTACATCAGGACACCAGGGAACTAGGTTAACTTGTTGAAATAGGGTATAATATGTCTCCTTTAACTCATTGACTGGCAGCCATTTTCAGAACAGAGAGTCCCATCCTGCCAGAGTTTTTTGAGCATTTTGACTGATTTTTCAAGAGCCACAGAATAGTTTGTGCTATGACTATGTAGACACCGAACACACCAAAAGAAAGAGTAGACTCTCTTCTTTCATCAGGAAAAAAATTTGTTTCTACCTTATTCCGTTCTTCCTCGACATGCATCTCACCGGCGCCATTTTTCGCATAGCGAACCATTGCGTTTTTTTTTTATTTGCCTACAATCTATGCTCATCTCCCATCAAAAGTGGCACTGCCACCTAGAGGGTCAATTTGTTACTACATACTCTGTCTAGAAGCCGATATTTACGGAAAAACTTTAGCCGATTGTCCCCAAGCCACTCGCGTTGAAAAACATAAAAGACGTCTATAGACGTCTTTGGCCGCCAATGAGTTAATGGGATGAGGCTCCACTGGGAGTGGGGTGGGGGTTCTGTGTGGCGCCTCGTTTTTTACGGAGGCGTTCCCCAAACCTGCGACTCTTCAGGCAGCGTGCAGCTGAAGCTGGTGGACGGTCCCGGTCGGTGCGCGGGGAGGCTGGCCGTGCGCCACCAGGGCCAATGGAGGAGGGTCAGCGGCCGGAGCTGGACCAGGGCCCGGGCCGACGCCATCTGCAGCCACCTCGGGTGCGGAGACTCCCGGGAAAACCGCAACCTGGAGGAGTTCGGGCGGGGCTCCGGGGAGTTCCTGAGCATGGGCTGCGGCTCGGGCTCCGGGAAAATAACCCGGAACATAACCGAGTGCTTCGCGAACCAGGACAAACAGCAACGGGACGAGACCCCACTGGGCCTGGTCTGCCAGGGTGAGTCGCTCTGGGACGTTTTAGGTTAGAAGGGCGTAAGGTTTCCTTTCACCATCTCTGTTACCGTAGAAACATAAACAGGTGCGGCCAGTAAAAACAAGAACGAGACTAAATGTTCCTGAGACGCATGAGAGTCCTGAAACTGAGCAAAACCTCCAGAGATGTTTAAAGTACTGGAGTAGAAGTACAAGTTCTATATAAAAAAATTGACTTGAGTAAAAGTAGAAGTATTCTTTCAACACCATATTTAACTGGAAGTACGGAAGTAGTTTTTTTTGTACTTAAGTATTGCAAGTAGAAGTATTTCAAAAATTGCTACTCAAGTTTTGAAAGTACAAGTTTAAGTAAAAGTACAAGTACTGTGTATATGAAAAAAAGGCAGTCAAAAGTGTGATAGATATTGTTTATATTATTTCAAACGTGTTAAAGGCCATACAGGTGTTTACAAAAACAGAAAACTACATCTGCATTAGCAATCAACAGCACTTCATCTACTATTATTTATTATTCCAGTGTCAGAATCCTGAGCTGAGCCTTTATGCTAGCATGTAGCGTACAGCTAGCCAGCTAGGTTAGCTTTAGCTAACGTTATCATACAGCTAGCCAGCTAGGTTAGCTTTAGCTAACGTTAGCTGCTAGGTCCTGAGTGAACATGGAAAACTGAACTAGCACTTATAGACTTAGACTTAGACTTAGACTGAACTTTATTGATCCCTTGGGAAGACTCCCTCAGGAAATTAAGGTTACCAGAAGATACTGGAGAGGCAGCCGTCTACACAGCGCCAGAATCAAATCTTCAGAACCAAAAGAATATTTACTAGCTTATATGTCATTGAATATGCTTCTTCAGATTAGATGGGGAATT